TCTTTTTTTTAAATTAATCATGATGAAAATCAAAGTACACGGGCAAATTTTTAGCAGAGATCATTCTGAGCTGACGACTGATTACAGTTTGATAACGGCGTACCTTTCATTTCGTTTAAGAAGGCGGGTCGAAGGGAATAGTAGATTGGCTACACTGGATGCCGCAGAAGGGTTGCCTTGGACTTTTGTCTGTTGAATTGTACCAAGAAAACCTCGGCTCATCGTTCTACGACCCCGATGACTCAGTGCTGATATTTAGTCCGTCAATGGCAGAAATCGTCAGAGCCAGAAACCATTATTCAAGAACAATCAGCAAAAAACACTAAACCGAGAAAGGTGGATTGTTCGTGAATGACGGTTTTTGGCTCTGACGACCTCCTTCACATGATTACAGATCTCACAGCATCTTCACTTCCCTTTGTGACGCCTCCAGTTTATTTACAAGATACTTGATAGCCACTTTTCATTCTCGATTCAGGCTGAGAAACTCCAAATAGTTGCAAGTAGACGAGCGCATATTTTAATGTCATGCTTTTAGCCACTAAAGTCTTTCCATTTCATTTTGAGTCACCATCAGTTCAATACAAAATAAAGTTAAAGCTAATTCCTAATGAACTCGAAACAAAACAATCAAACGGTTTGCTGTGAGTCAGCGACGACATCTAAGACCAGCCGAATTTCTGCCTTGATTATCTAAGCGTAAAACCTTACCAGGTCCAAGATTGAGGCTAAAATAATATCTGCATTAATCCGACGATATGATGCCGACTGTAACCAGATCCGTCAAGTGAACGTAAATGTCACTGTCTAGGGCCATTTGATCTGGTAGGTCTGAGGTGAATTGAGGAGAAGGCCACTTTCCGACGAAAGCGTGAACTAGGCAAGCCCAGTTGGGGGCTGACCGCGAAAAAAATGGCGCCCAGTCGCTCCTAGTCTGGCCCATAGGCCTCCGTTTTTTGAGACCGTTCTTATCGATCTGGGCCTGTTTGAATTATCAGCGGCCCTCACCTGTTGAGGCAGTCGATAGACGCGCCATCTGAGGCAACTCAAATCTGATTGGACGAATTGTGGGAAGTAGGACTTGGCGAATCAAACGCGTTATGCAAAGAGCGGTGCATTTGCTTTGACCACTCGAGTTAAGCAATAAAAATGGCGGTCAGATTGAGCCATTGCTGTTGTCTCTTGCCTTTCAGGAGGAGGTGGAACGCTGTCAGCAGCAGAAGTGGGAGTCTCTACAGACCTACTTGCCTCGGCTCAAGGCCGAGGTGACCCACTTGGCTCAAGTCTGTTGCATGAATACCGCCGAGGTGCTGGCCGGGGCTGATTTCACCGACAACGAATCGGTTGTCGGGCACCTAGAGACGAGGTTGGAGGATTTGCGCGATGTCTACGCCAGGCATAGCGTCGCCTATGACAGCATCTCGGCCTACGATCGTCTTTGGGCGGCTCTATTCGAAGTTGAGGTCAAGATGAAGGATCCTGCCATTCTGGCGAATCGAGGAGGGATCCTGCTGAAGACGGAGAAGGAGAAGAAGCGCTTGCTGAAGGAGCTGCAGCGAGTGGAACAGGAGACTCAGGAGACGATTCGGAAGTACCAATCGGCTGGTGATGCCGACCAGTTCCGGCTCTCGAGTGGTTTGACTTTTGGTGAGTACGCGGCGAAGCGATGGGAGGACTACCGAGTGAGCAGAGAGCCGACGAGGTCGCGCGGGAAAGTGATCGGAGCGAATGGGGGCGGCTCCTCAAGCCGGTCAAGCAGCCTGCACCCCGAGAGCCCTCAGCATCCGGGCGCTCCGCGCTAATCTCATGTCCACTTGGGCTCGCAGTTTTGGCGATGGTCGTTGTTCGCGTGTGCAAACTACCGGCAGTCATCATATTTACTTATTTTCGCAGTATTCTTCTGTTAGTCCATCCGCCAGCATGACCCTACACGATGTTTGCATGCAATGAAATCTTATATACCTTCACATATTCATATGCATTTACATGTACATATACACATTTACTAACATAAACACCTGTGTCTATGCATAGATGGCATTGCATAAGTATGTACACACATTTTATTTGCAACAGAAACACAGGACATGTTTCCATGACGTTGAAGTGGCAACACGAGAAAAGATTTTTGTGTCAGGCCTCATGTCTGATCGAGACATCAGACCTTCCTCTTGACGTTGGTTTGTAGTGCGGTTAACCTGCATTTTTATTGTTTCAAATGGGCACTACAATTGCTTTGTTTACACTCGTGCATTTACACTCGCCTCGATGGGTTTCACTGGCGAGTGGGTATGTCTTTTCTCCGCCTGTGCACGACATGACGGCAGCCAGCATATGTTTGCCCAAGAAGATACACGCAAGATTCACATTACATCTATTCTGTCCAACTACTCTACTGCTTACTAGAGAGCACACCCCTAAAGTCTTTCATGCCACACTTCACTTTATGTATAGTTGCTTCGGTTTATTTCTTGGTTAATATTCATCAAATCATGCATATTCCACCACCATGGCTGCAATGGGAGCCTTAGAGGACTCCCTTTTTGGCGCCTTTGTTCTACTAATCCAATGTTTTTTCTGCACCAGTCCACAGAGCGAGATAAGGCCTGAGCGGATAGATTCTTGCCTTTACAATTAGGCTAACTTTTTCTATTCATGTGCCGTTTTTGCCTGGGAATAACTTTATTTTTTCATAAGATATTACAAGAGATATCACGAAAAGATGATTATCCTTAATGTTTGGCAGAACAAATCCACATTAAAGCAACATAAATTGGTTTTGATTACCTTGCCTGACAATTTGTTGGGCACAGTTTGGAGTCAACGAAATATGAGGTAATGCCTCTCCGGAAGTGACCAGTTAAGCCTATTACAAAACATGCGGAATGTACCTGTAAGATCATATCGCCTCATTGGTTTGGGGCTCAGTATGGGTAATCTGCTTTTAAGTCGAGGAACCAGCCTTCGCCTCTATATTTGATGAATGCCACAGAAAAATTAATTTTGGAAGACGCAAAATAGTTTATTTTGTGAATTTTTACGCATATCTGCGTGCATGCGTATTTATGTGCGCCTATATATATCTATATGTATATGTATATATGGATATATAAATATATGTATGTGGGGTTGCAACAGCGTTGTTTTTGGCGGTATTTCTCCCATCAAAGGGATGCCATGCAAAAATCCTTCTTATTTACTATACCCGGAATGTCGTATCACACAGGTCATGCAAGTTGGGCTTGAGATCATCTTAATTGGTGGATAAGCATTTACGGGCCCACCTGATTCAAGCTGTGGAACAAGGAACATAGAGACTTTGAGTATGTAACGTTCCAGAGCTAGTCCAACCAAGAGGACTGTTGCATAACTGACCAGATTTTTCTCTCACCGTCTCACTATTAGTCTCCTTTCACTTTGGAGGACCATATTCCAGTCCTAAAAGTACATTTAGCGAACTAAGCTGGCCGACATTTTCAATCAAAATTGTTCGAGCCATCGAAACTTATTCGCACCGAATACATTATCTATTAAGTCAGTGTATGAAGTATCAAATCAATTACCTGCTACAGCCTATCAAAATTTAATCTCCACTTGAACCTCAGAGCACCGACCGGCTACGTGATTAGACGAGTGAAACGTCTGTTCATAACTAAAATGAACGTCAATTCAGGTCCAAGAAAGCTTGGGAAGTCATAAGAGCCTGAACACATGTCGTAAAATGGTATGAAATCCAATTGTCACATTAAGTACCAGTGTAGAATGAATAAAGCTTGCTCAGGTCGCTTTAAAGTAGCCATTCAGAGTGAAAAAAAGCTTAGTAATGAATGGATAGGCTTGTAAGCTTATTCCTGTCAACGGATAGACCCAGAGTTCTTCAGAAATTCGGTGTACTTAGCAGTACTAACGTGGCCCTATTTGCATCAGGACACTTGAGAAAATGTTCGTGCCCCGATTGTGCTGCTGTATTCTCTTAGTTCTGCTTCGGGATATACAAATTCAAATAAAGCATTTTAGG